CCCAAACGGACAACCACGGAACCAACATAGTGCACCATCAAGGCATCTTCTTCTTTAGTTCCGACATTTCGGGCTCCCCCCAGAAGTCACCAAGAGGCCCCCAGGAGGCCCCGAAGAGACTCCAAGTGCCTTCTGTCATCTTTTCTTGCGCACATCCTTTCCAAACCTGGTGGTTCGCATGGTCGCGTGCTGAGCTCACCAAATATGTCTCCGAGCCCACCTGCCCAAACGGTCAAACAGGGAACCAACATAGTGCACCATCAAGGCATCCTCTTCTTAAGTTCCGACATTTCGGGCTCCCCTCCCGAAGAGACCCCCAGGAGACACCAAGAGGCCCCCAGGAGGCCCCGAAGAGCCTCCAAGAGGCCGCAAGACGCCTCCAGGAAGCCCCCAAAAGCCTCCAGGAAGCCCCTAGAAGCGCCCAAGAGGGCCCCGACACTGCCTCAAGAGCGCCCCAGGACCTGACCTCCGCTCCGAGATGCACCGTCCTTTTTTGGATACCTTCTCATCCAGGAAGCTTCGCCACAAAAGCCCCAGTCGAAATTTCAAGTTCCCACAAGTCCCCCAGAAAGCGTTGACGGGCAACGTGCTCAACTCACGCTCGTGTGGCTTCTGTCATCTTTTCTTGCGCACATCCTTTCCAAACCCGGTGGCTCGCATGGTCGCGTGCTGAGCTCACCTACTATGTCTCCGAGCTCAACTGCCCAAACGGACAACCAGGGAACCAACATAGTGGCCGCAAGACGCCTCGAGGAAGCCCCCGAAGCCTCCAGGAAGCCCCTAGCAGCGCCCAAGAGGGCCCCGACACTGCCTCAAGAGGGCCCCAGGACCTGACCTCCGCTCCGAGATGCACCGTCCTTTTTTGGATACCTTCTCATCCAGGAAGCTTCGCCACAAAAGCCCCAGTCGAAATTTCAAGTTCCCACAAGTCCCCCAGAAAGCGTTCACGGGCAACGTGCTCAACTCACGCTCGTGTGCCTTCTGTCATCTTTTCTTGCGCACATCCTTTCCAAAGCCGGTGGCTCGCATGGTCGCGTGCTGAGCTCACCTACTATGTCTCCGAGCCCAACTGCCCAAACGGACAACCAGGGCACCAACATAGTGCACCATCAAGGCATCCTCTTCTTTAGTTCCGTGGGTCTCGCATCTCTTCCAATCACCTCTCGGCCAACTCCCACGAAGCGTTCTTTTTCCCCTTTCCAGCGCGCTACCTCACCAAACCAAAGTTTTCCTAAGGCCTCGCATGGCCCCGTCCTCTGCACACTTCGCCTCGGACCCCGACACTGCCTCAAGAGGGCCCCAGGATGGCGTCCTGAGATCCGCTCCGAGATGCACCGTCCTTTTTTGGATACCTTTTCATTCAGGAAGCTTGTCCAGAAAAGCCCCAGTCGAAATGTCAAGTTCCCACAAGTCCCCCAGTCAAGTTCCCACCAGTCCCCCAGACTGCGTTGTGTGGCAACGTGCTCCACTCACGCTCGTGTTCCTTCTGTCATCTTTTCTTGCGCACATCCTTTCCAAACCCGGTGGCTCGCATGGTCGCGCGCTGAGCTCACCTAATCTGTCTCGGAGCCCAACTGCCCAAACGGACAACCACAGAACCAACATAGTACACCATCAAGGCATCCTCTTCTTTATTTCCATGGGTCTCGCATCTCGTTCCAATCACCTCTCGGCCAACTCCCACAAATCGTTCTTTTCGCCCTTTCCAGCGCGCTACCTCACCAAACCCGAGTTCTTCTAAGGCCTCGCATGGCCCCGTCCTGCGCCCACTTCGCCTCGCGCATGGCAACTCGCTAATCTCACCCCGAAGGCCCCTCACGACAGTCTGAAGAAGGCCCCAGCAAGCCTCACGAACCCTTCCGCCAGAACCCAACTGCCCAAACGGACAACCAGGGAACCAACATAGTGCACCATGTAGGCATCCTCTGCTTTCCTTCCCTGGGTCTCGCAGCCTTCCAAGACGGCTTCAGAAGGACCCAGGAACGCCTCAAGAGAGCCCCCAGAGGGGGGGCAGGGACCGACAGTTTGGGCTCCCCGCCCGAAGAGACCCCGCCTCCAACACGTACCGCCGTTTTTGGGGGCCACCTTCTCCTCAGAAACGTGCCCGGCACAACCTCCCACGAAACCCGAGGACCCCAGGAGACTCACGCCGCAGGTCGTCCAATTCAGTCCTCATACAGTCAGACACGTGCCCGACAAAACCTCCAGCACAACCCGAGAGCCCCCAGGACCTCCACATCCCCCAAACTCCATCCTCTCGCCCGTCCTGCGACATCGCGTCCCCTCCCTTTCTGTGGCCCGCATGGAAACGTGCTGAGCCTACCTCGTGACTCACATGGTCGCGTGCTGAGCTCCCCCCCTCCCTTCCATGTGGCTCGCATGGACACGTGCTGAGCTCACGTCCTGCCTCGCTTGGTCGCGTGCGCTCCCCACCTCCAACACGTACCGTCGTTTTTTTGGTACCCTTTTCCTTACATACGTTCCCTACACACCCCCTCACCATACCCGAGGCCGCCAGGGGCCTCCCAGGGCCCTTCGACTCCCTTGCCTCGCCCGCCATGTGCACCCGCGACACCCTCCCCCCGCCGGTGGCTCGCATGGGACCGTGCTGCGCTCACCTCGTCACTCGTACGGTCGCGTGCTGAGCTCCCCTCCAAGACGCACTATCTTTTTCTCCGCTGCCTTTCTCTCCGGCCTGCCGGTGGTGGCTCGCATGGGAACGTGCTGAGCTCACCTCGTCCCTCGCATGGTCGCGTGCTCAGCTCACCTCCAAGACGCACCATCTTTCCTCCCGCTACCTTTCTCTCCGGACTGCGGTCCAACATGCCCCCAACATGACTTTCACGTTGCCCCATGGCCCCATGGCCTCCCCTGGAGCCCCCAGGATCCGTCGCCACTTGGATCCGACCGGGCGCGCGCACCCAAGGCCTGCTGCAATGTGTTTCACGTCTGGCGACATTCCTGCATCGCCATACCCCGAGCACACATGCCTTCGTCGACGCGTTGGCCGCGCACACTCACCAAGGCCTTCATTTCGGATTGGATTGCGACTCATGGCGACAATTGGGAATCGTCTCTGACAACGGGTCTGCAAACATGGAAGCCCCGTAAAGCCCAGCGTCAGGGCCTCACCACCATTACCGTGGAAGACTGGTGCATCGCCCTCGAAGTGCCCTTCAGAGGGTATCGCAATGACTTGCGCTCCGAGTACGTGCAACGGCTCCTCACAGCAGCGCGCCTGCTTCCACGAAGCTCGCCATCGGAACGCACGACTCCAACCAAATGGCCTCGACACCTCACTACCGACTGCATCACCACATGGATTGCGTCTCAAGGAGACGCCTGGGAAGCGACCCTGGAGTCGGGCTTACAAGCATGGAGCCCTCGAAAGAGGCAGCGAAACGGCAGCACTGACATCACACTCGAAGATTGGTGCATCGCTTTGGGCGTGCCCTTCAAGGGGTACAACGACGACCTGCGCTCCGAGTACGTGCAACGGATCCTCACAGCAGCGCGCCTACTTCCACCAAGCTCGCCTGCGGAACGCGCGCCCCAAACAAGATGGCCTCGCCACCTCACCACCGACTTCATCACCACATGGATCGCGTCTCAAGGGAACGCCTGGGAAGCGATTTTTCGGGTTCTCTGCCCCAATGACCCCAAGTGACGCCCAAGAAGACCCCAACAGGCCTCAAGACCTCATGACGCCTCCATAAAGCCCCGACAAGCCCCCAAGAGAGCCCCATAACTGCCCCAAGATCCCAGGACTGCCGGGAGCGCCTCGACACAGCGTCAGAGCGACAAACGAACAGCCCCGGGACTCCCTCAGGAGGGCCCCGGGACGGCTGAAGGACCTGAGGAGGCCCCAAGAGGCCCCCAAGCGTCACAGCGACAAACGGACTGCCCCGGGACTTCCTGGCTCGTACGGCAATTTCCTGAGCTCACCTTACGAGGTCTTCAGCAAGCCCCCAGAAGCGCCCAACAGGGCCTCAGGACAGCACCAAGAGGGCCCCCCTCGACAAAGCGTCAAGGCGTCAAGCGGACAACACGGGAACCCATGTAATGCGCGTAAAGCAGCACAGCGTCACTCGGACCACACTGGATCCAATGTAATGCGCTCCTTGGCCTTCCTCTTCTGGGCTCGCACGGAAACGTGCTGAGCTCACCCCGTTGCTTGCACGGTCGCGTTCTGAGCTCACCTCCAAGACGCACCGTTGTTTTTCTGGCCGCCTTTCCCTCTGGACAGCTGTCGCAGAGAAACCCCAAGCGAGTTTTCGTCTTGCCAGAAAGCCTTACAAGATGCCTCCAGGAGGCTTCAGTACGGCCGCATGCGGCCCCCGACCGCCGCAAGTTGTCCAATCCAGTCCTTACACAGTCAGACACATCCCCGACACAACCTCCAACCAAACCCGACGGCCCCCAGGAGCCCCCAGATTCTCCAAACTCAAGTTTCTCGCCCGTCATATGTAACCGCGCCCCCTCCCTTCCCTGTGGCTCGCATGGAAACGTACTGAGCTCACCTCGTGACTCGCACGGTCGCGAGCTGAGCTCACCCCCTCCCTTCCATGTGGCTCGCATGGACACGTGCTGAGCTCACCTCGTAACTCGCCTAGTCGCGTACTGAGCCCACTTCCAAGACGCATCGTCGTTTCGTGGCCACCTTTTCTTCAGAAACGTTCCTGACAACCTCCGACGAAATCCGAGGTTTCGGGTTCTCCGCCCCAATCACCACTCCAGAGGCCCCCAGAAGCTCCCAAGAAGTTCCCAAGAGGCCCAAATAACGCCTGAAGAGGCCCCAAAAGGCCCCCAAGAACCTTCCAGAGGCCTCCAGCAAGCCCCCAGAAGCGCCCAAGGTGGGCGCAGTACTGCCCCAAGATAACCCCAAGACGGCTGGCGGTTCCTCGACAGCCTCACAGCGTCAATCGGACAACACGGGAACGTGATGATACCCCAAGAAGACCCCAAGATGCCTCAAGACCTCAAGACGCCTCCAGGAAGCCCCCAGAAGCTCCCAAGAGGGCCCCAGGACTGCCCGTAGCCATTTTGGCTCAATTTGGGGCTCAAGAGCCTTCCGGTCAGGATATCTTGCGCGTGCCCTCTGATATAGTTAATTGCACCGATTCGGCGCTTACCATTGCAAACAATGGACTCGTTCACGAGGCGTGCCTCATCTCAGTGCTTTCACAGCGATGAGTATTTTGAGACCTACACTTTCTCTCACCAATTCGACCAAGCATCAGGTGGCATGTGTACGTCGTTGCCCAGTTGGGGCTCACTGCCCACCATGCATCCGGTCTCCATGCAGTCGCAGCTTGCCCGGCAGGAGAACCACCCCATGTTGCAGTCGAGCGGCGGCGAGTCGTGGAATACTTTTGACGAGTTCGACGACCCACGCGGGCGTCGGCGGGCAGAAATCCAAAGCAGCAACCCATCCGAACACGCGCAGGATTCAGCCCAGTTGGGCCTTGGCGGCGCCCCCTCTGCGGCCGATGCGCAGCTGCCATCTCGGCCTGGAGGCGTTCTGCTGCTCCATGGCCAGTCGCTGCCGCGCAGGCAGGAAGACCCCCCCATTTTGCAGTCGAGCGGCGGCGAGTCTTGGAAGACCTTTGACGAGTTCGACCACCCGCGCGGGGGCGCTCTGCCTCTGACCACAGTAGGCGCTCTTCTGCTCGATCGCTCCGCGGGGGCGGCGCCAGCCTATTCACCGACCAGGCCGCCCGGCATGCCGCCGCGTTCCACCGCCGAGACGTGGCTGGCCGCGGGCCCCCCAGGCGAGCCAGACCGCGCGGCGCGGGCGAGACAGCCGGCCAGCGGAGGGCGGGCAGGGGCCTCCACTGGCACGCCCGCGGCCGCCACGGCGCTGGCAGACATGCGGGCCCGGCTCCTGGCGCAGGAGCAGCTGCTGGCCCAGGTCCAGCAGCAGGCCCAAGACCTCAGGCGCAGGATCCGCGAGCAGCAGGCCGACCTGGCGGAGATGGAGCTTCAGCAGGGCGAGCTCGTTGACAGCATGCCGGCAGCCACCGAGGAGGCGGCGCCCGCCACCCCTGGCGCTCCAGCAATCACCACGCTCATGATCCTCAACATCCCAATGTCTGTTACGCAGCGTGACCTGCTGGACCTCATCGACAGGGCTGGTTTCAAGAACCGCTACGACTACGCCTACATGCCGGCAACTTTTGACAGCGGTACCACTAGAGGGATCGCATTTGTGAATTTTGCCGCCTCAAGCGACGCCCGCGAGTTTTCCGTCTTGTGGAACGGATCGCGATTGACTGGAGTTGCCGGTGCTGGAACCAGCGGGACCGTGATCGAGGTCACCGCGTCGGCGACGCAGGGCTACTCGGAGAACGTCAGGATGTGGAAGGCGAGCCGGCTGCGCCGCATTAAGAACCCCAAGTTTCACCCTTTCATCGCCCCGAGGCCAGCTGCCTAATGAACGCGCGGTTGACATTTTCATTGGATGCACGGGATGTGGGGGATGGGGGGGAGCGCGCGGGAGGCCAAGGAGGACGAGGACGAGGACGCGGGCACCGCGCAGCGCGCCCCAGAGCGCGCCGGTTGGCGGCGACGGGCCCACCACGAGCTGCCCTCCTAGCGGGCAGCCCAGCCAGGCCGCGCGATCAAGGCGTGCCATGTGCAGAGAGGGATTTGTTTAGTGCGCTCGCTTGAATCTCTGCACGCAGCCGTGAATCATCATCGGCGGCAGAGCTTCACGTAGTTTCGCATTTGCTAGATCAGTATTCAGTATGAGAAAGTTTCAATGTTTCTAAGTGGGAAGCTTCCCTGGCCACATGAACCCGAGGTGCTCATTTCGAGGGCCCGGGTGCCTGAGGCCTCTTCGACCGACTGGAAATACCTGGTCGGCCGGCCGTGCCCTTCCCACTGACTTTGTTTCGTTCAACATTATAATATTTGAGGATTTTTTCATGTCTGTCTTTGCTCCACGCTTTCGAACGAGGGCTGTGGCCACTGCCTCCCATTGTTCATTGAGTACCCTCGCCGCCCCAGCTGCCATGCGTTCAGTGCGTGGCACCGAAACCTTCGGAGGCCAGCGCTCGGCTGCAGCAGGCGTGTTTTTGTTTTTCTGCCCACGTCGCAGGGCCGAATGCGGGCACTCGAAGCCTTGCACGACTTCTGGGCGCGTGGCACTCGCTGGCGCCTTCACACTCCTCAACTCCTGGGACCCCCCCCCGAAAAAAAAGAGGGCCCCAGGACTGCCCCAAGACCCCAGGACTGCTGGAAGCGCCCCGACAAAGCGTCAGAGCGACAAACGGACAGCCCGGGAATCCCTCAGGAGGGCGCCAGGACGGCTGAAGGACCTGAGGAGGCCCCGAGAGGCCCCCAAGACGACCCCAACAAGCCTCAAGACCTCACCACGCCTCCAGGAAGCCCCCAGAAGCTCCCACGAGGGCCCCAGGACTGCCCCACGGCTCCAGGACTGCTGGAAGTGCCTCGACAAAGCCTCACAGCGACAAACGGACAGCCCCGAGACTTCCTAGCTCGTATGGCAATTTCCTGAGCTCACCTTAGGAGGTCTCCAGCAAGCCCCCAGAAGCGCCCAACAGAGCCTCAGGACAACCTAAGAGGGCCCCACGACGGCTGGAGGCGCCTCGACAAAGCGGCACAGCGTCAAACGGACAACACGGGAACCAGCAGAATGCGTCCTATAGGCATCCTTTTCTTTGTTTTTCTCTGTCTCGCAATTCACGCGCACTTGTCCTCCAAGGTCGGGGTTCGTGACAATATCAGGTAAAAGATGCGAGGGGGCCTCAGCATCCTGAGCCAACCGCGCAACAGTCGGGGCGCTGAAGAAGGAACCCTTTTCGTTGGGGAGGGGCTCGGCGTTCCTTGACTGTTGTGCAGTTCGCCTGAGGTTTCCCGAAGGTTTTCCATGGGAAATCGAAGATCAACTTTTGGGAAAAAGGGGCCTCGTTCCTTATCTAGGGTTCCTTAGGTCAACGCCCCGACTGTACGATATCATCGCCCTGAGGACCAGTGGTCCAACCAGCGCCAGTGGTCTGGGCAGACGCACCACCAGCCACCCGGCGGCGGCGCGCACTGGTCCCACTCGGCAGACTGGGAGCCCTGCAGCGGCGGCACCGGCTGGCAGGCCCCGGCGGCGGCGCCGGGCGGCCTGGGGCAACGTCAGGAGGGGATCCCCGAGACCCTGGCGTCGCCACTGCTTCACGGCGGGTGGTTTTTTCTGGCGTTCTCGGCGAGGCTGTTGATGGCGAGGCTGTTGATGGCGAGGCTGTTGATGGCTGTTGATGGCGTGGTCGTCGGGTCTCGGCGGCTTTCCAGCCTCGGGGTGCCTTCAGCAGCTGCGCCTCGCCGAGGGCGTTCTCGGTCGGGGTGCCTGGCTCGTCCCGAGGGGGCCGCCGGAGGCCCGAGGTTTGACCCGAAAATCGCCAGAACCCTGAGATGCTGGCGTCGCAATTCTGTTGTAGCTGGCGGTGCTGCTCTGCGTCGGGCCAGAGGACTCTCACAGATCGATGCGGCTCGGAAAACGTGGCAAAAGGACGGGGTCCAGGGCTCCGGTCGGTGTGTCTTACGGTCCTGCAATTATGTCGTGACGTCGGTCTCAGGGATACAGGGGCAGGAGGCGACGCACCCAACCCCCAATCGCCAATTGATCGCCGACAGGGGCCCGACACAGCCCGCCCCGCCCGAGGGCATGCGGCTTCGGTATCTGCGGGCCATCGCCGTGCTATCGGTGACGTATGTTTCAGACATGCGAGGACTCGATTTGTTCAATGCCCGGTCTCCAGAAGCCTCGACCCCTGCCCCCGGGCCGGCTTCTCACCCCGAGTCGTTTTTCTCTCACGGCCCCGAGCAGGCCTGGCGCGGGCACCCAAGAGGCCGAGGAAACGGTCGATCTCTGTCGGTCGGGTTTTCGTACACCACGCGAGCAGGCCTGGGATCGCCGATTCCAGGCGGCGGGCTCCCGCCACCCCCCTCCCTTGGAGCTGGCCCACCACTGCATCGCTGCCCCTGAGGTGGAGCTGGGCCGGCGGGCTGCCGCCAGCCTCCGGGCGGCGGAGGGCTGCCCGCGGGCCCGGGAGCGGTGGCGGGCGGGGCGCCAATTCGGGAGCATTCAGGAGAAAGGGCTTCGCCTTCGATGGTTGGAGGACCCAGACCCCCTCGAGTCATGAACAGATCACGACGCTTTTTCGCTATTTTCGGCCTCTGGGGGCCCCTACCGGGCCTCGGGATCGTCAAAAATCGACTCAGGACGAAAGACCGGCCCCTGAGGATGGGTCCAGACCTTTGGGGGTCGACGTAATGAAGAAATCATGACGTCCAGGGTCTGGGGAGTTGGCACTTCTTCCTCGGCGGAAGGCGGCGTAAGGCTGGTGGAAGGCGGCGGAAGCAAGAGCGTGGGCGGCTCTGCTGGCGGACGCCGGCGAAAGTAAGACACGCGCCCCCAGAAGAGGTGGCAAGTGTTGTGGGCTCAGGGTTTCTGGAACCCTCCGTATGAGCCTCCCAGGTGGGGCCAGACGCTGACACGAGGAACGCCATGGGCCTGGGAGGGGCTCGGGTTTTCGGGCCGTTCCTGCGATTCATGTCGTGGGACCTATTTGCGTCAGAGCGTGAATTACCTGCCCCTCTTTCGCTTCCAGGCAAAACCAAGTCATACCACGCGCCTCCTCGTCAAGCGGCCTGACCAGCGCAGGCCGTAGTTTGGCGTCGCTTGGTATCTCTTGGAAGCGAGGGTGGTCAAAGGCGAGGTAGGTTTGTTTGCGCCCTATTGTGGCCCAGGCCCGCCGTGGCAGGAAAAGCCTTGCCGTTCCTTGTTATGTGAGGCTCGTGTCGTGTCGAATCGGCTGCGAACCTAGCGCGGGCGATCAAGGTTGAGCGCCGCCAGTGGCCCATAATCGCTCAACACGGAACAGTTTCATTTCGTGATCGAGAAGCCGCTGATTGTTGTAGGTTGAACGATCCACGCAGTGGCAGAAACCGACGCCTGGGTCTTGACGACGCGGACTTGCCGTAGATGCGGGCGGGGGTCGCGCCGCATCGCTGATGCATCGGCGATGCGGCTCGATACGGAGTCCAACCTTCTCCACGCCGACGTCGCCGATGCATCGCAGTCGTTGCCGATGCATCGGCAATGTATCGGTGATGCATCGGCGATGCGGCCGGATCCTCCGACACCATCTATTCCGAACCCATCAAGGAGGCCTCCAGGAGCAGGTCTGGGGATTTTCGTTGGTTCTTGAAGCTTGGAGCTGGCTGGGGGGCTGAGGTGGTCCAGCATTGGATTTGGCGAGCAGAACGGGGGGGGGCGAGGTTACAGTGTGTGGTTTCGACGAAGTTGTTTGCCGTTTTTTTGTCTCCGGCGGCCATCTTCGGATCCCGCGACCGTCCAAAGCGGATCCGCGGGTTTCAGCTTGCACCAGATGGGCCCCAGGAGGGGTCTGGGGACCGATTCTGAACGGATTTTCCTCCAGACCCAACCAGCTCAGACCCCCCGCCCGCCTCAAAGTTGTAGGTGGTCTCGCCTCGGGGTGGTTGTCAGCAGCTGCGCCTCGTTGAGAGCGTTCTGGGCGTTCAGCCCCCGTCCCGCGAAGCGGAGCGACACGCTACTCGCTGGCAGAGCATGGCGTGTCGCAGGGGCCACCGCTGCGACACGCTAAGGACAGTTTCATGACAGTAGAGGTGTGTGTGTATGAGAGAGAGAGAGAGAGAGAGAATACTCTGGCCGAGATCATGGGATCTCCCAGATCTCAGGGCCCCTTCGTCTTTCAGTGCTTCCCTGAACCCTCCCCCCTCGTCCGCGCACATACCTCATGCGCTAGCCCTCTCGTCCTGGCCATCCTTTCCGGCGCACCCGAGCAGATTTCCTTGAGATCGGGGTTTCACTGTTTTTGTCATGTAAGTGTCTCAGGAAGTTCGGTCCTAGGGCCACTGTTGTGAGGTTTAGCGATGCTGCCGTTCTTTTCGCGACGTCGGATCTCGGGTTGTTGATTTTTCCAACATGAGCAGTATGGAGAGTTTTCTGCTTCTGTCTGGCCCCGTGGCGCCTTCTGAGGAAACTGGCCATGGATGTTGCCTGGTAGGTGTCCGGCGACCGAGCTTGAGCGGACTGTGGCCAGGTGTGGCCCGACGGGGAGCAGCCCACTTCAACGGTACCGTCGCCTCCTGGACGCCCTCCTCCTGCCTTCTGCCGTAGAAGCCTTCTTCGCAGCCTGCGGGCCCCGTCTGGAGCCGCCGGCCCCCCGAGAAGGCCGCCCCCTCACCTCTCTGGCGCGAGGCCGCCACCCTCAGCAGCATCAACTGGAGAAGAGCGTTCGCTTGCGCCCGTCGCCATGGTCCGTTCATGAAAGGTCGAAGCCTAGGCTGCCATTTAGGAATTGAGCCGTTCTCCTCCGATCGGTCCCCACCCGAGATCGCGAGGCGGAATCCTCAGGGACCACCGGGCCCCTTGGGGCCCTGCGGCCGCGGCACGCAGCCTTCATCCGTCGAAGACGCGAGGCGCGACACCCAGGGAGCACTGGGCCCCTCGGGGACTGGCGGCCGCGGCATGCGGGGTTGGCGAGGCGGGTCGAGGTCTTCCCCTCAAGCTCAAGCCTAATTACATACCCTGAGAGCCGACGTTGCAGAAGCATTGCAACATCGCAGAACATCGCGACCTGACCCCCAGACCCCATCTTTCTGCGTCATTTCTCGAGCCAGATCGATCTGTGAGGGCCTCTGGGCCCGCAGTGGAGCGAAACCGCCCGGCTCGAAAAAATGGAGCCGCCAGGGATCTCAGGGTAGCGCGACCAGCCCCGACCAGCCGGGCAGGGGCACCCCTTGCGCGCCGCCGAGGCTGCCTGCGGGCTTCTCGGCTGTGGCTGGCAGGGCGGCGGCGGCAGAGGCCCGCCGCTAGGCCACGGCCGCAGCCCCGGCGGCTGCGGCGGCGGCCCGCCGCTCGGCACAGGCTGCGGCCCCGGCGGCTGCGGCGGCCCGCCGCGCAGCAACATCGGCTGCGGCCCCAGCGGCTGCGGCGGCCAGGCTGGCCCCGGAGGGGCCTGGAGCGGGGGGGAGAAGCGAGGTGCGGAGACCGCGACGCCCTGGACCCCTCCTCTGGGCCGCATGCTGCCCAGGATCTCGAGGCGAACCCAGGGGGCCTCCCGGGAGGCCACGCCAGTGGCGAAATGGAGGGAAGGGCAGCATGGTATGGTTCAGGAGGGGAAAAACACACAGACACAATTAATTGTCGACTCCCCCGAAAATATTTGAAAATGTGGGAAGTGGGGGGGAA